TGGCCCCTCCCTTGGCACTGGCCCTTCAGAATGTGACCAGAACCCTCAGAACCCTGGCAGAGGTGGCTGCCCTTTTTCACAGTCCTCCACCTGGGGCAGTATTTCCAATGGGGAAGCCAAGGTCTGGGCTGCTAGGTCAGGCACTGGAGCTGCTGTACCTCTGGCTTCTGACAAGTTTGCCTGGCTTGACTTCAGCTTTTCTGTTTGTGAAAGGGGACAATGACACGTCTCAGGGTGTGGGGTGGGGTGTGTGTGTGTGTGTGTGTGTGAACATACGCTCACAGCTGGGCTCTGCAAAGCAAGAAGTGCCCCATGGGTGGTGGGGTCGGGGAGTGCAGTAACCACTGAGTTCAGCAAGGGGCCCCGGAGTGCCTGATAAAAGCTATTATGTTTTGGCCCATAAAGTTCTCTACTCACTCACAAGGACTCACTGTTAGTGACAGGTCCCTGCATGGTTTAAGAAGGATGCATTGCCAGGAGTCACCCTGGGAACTCCTCAATAAATAAGTTTCATGTGGGGTGCTGAGGGGTTGCTACTGCTGGACAGGTGGGGAAACTGAGGCCTGGAAGGAAAAGGGCTTGCCTGTGATGACAGAACTTTAGAGCTGTGACGAGGTTTCCGTGCAGATCTGCACCAGAAGGAACTATGAAAGGTGTTTGGCTCATTCTTCGTCTAACAGGCCTAACAGGTCACCCCCTCAGCTCCTGCTTGGGGAATGCAATGCGCCTCGGGATGCTAAAAGCTGTTGTTTTGGTTTCTGAGACAGGGCCCTGGTATGTAGTCCACCCTAGCCTTGAATTTGATATGTAGCCCTGGCTGGCCTCAAACTTGTGATCCTCTTGCCTCAGCCTCCCAGATGCTGGGAATACATATGTGCACCACCATGCCCAGCTTGTGATGCTCACGTTTTAGTCACCTTAGTGCTGTTTTCCCACAGTCCTTGCCTGTACCTTCCTTTCTGGGATTCGGGGGAGGTGGCAGAGCAGGTGGGAGATGGGGGAATCTTTCATAATGAAACATATTAAAATTCAAAATTCCACGAAACCAGATTATACCGGTCTAAGTCAAATGCCCAGTTGTTCTAAGGCAATGTAAACATGCCACAGACTTTTCTATAAAGATTGACAGAAGGTTTGGGGGCACTGCCTCCTGGTAACAATGGAGATGTGAGTCCATACTGGCCACGGGAGACTCCTGGGTACCTGAAGTGTGCCCAGTGGCCCGAGGAACTGAATCTACATATGTCACATCCTTTTAATGAATGTGAGCTTTAATCGCTGCAAGTGGCCAGTGGCTGCTTGTTGATGTGCACAGGATCTTCTAGATTCACCGGGCACATTTCCTCAAGCAGGGAGAAAGAACAGAGAAAGGAGGGGGACAAGCCAACCCAGGCTCCAAGGGTGGCCTTCTGAGTCCTCGGCTCCCTGGCTGGGTGACCCTAGGCAGGCTGTTCCTCCCAGGCTGGTGTCCTCATCTGGAACATGGGAGGGTGTAGTAATTAGTCCTGTGAGGCAGTGGGGCCACAAGATCAAGTGTGTAAGCAGCAGTAGCTCAGGGGTGGGCACACAACAAGGGCTCACTGCCCCAAGCCATATCCGCAGGGACTGCCAGGCCTCTCGCCCCTGCCAATCTGTAATTATCAGGCACCCACTGGGGACCAGTCCTGTGCTTGGGCCTGAGAGTTTGGCTCCTCCCTCTGGGGATACAAGGTTCCTGCTTCACAGTGGTGGGGCGCTCTGGGGCTGCCTACACCCAGCAGAGGACCCAGGCCCTATCCTGGTCTCCTCCCCACAGACCCTCAGGCCCCGGAGAGCTGGCAGTCTGGTGTATGCCCTCTCTGGGGACATGAGCTGGGTTCAGAAAAGGGAGGCCTATGGCCAACCAGAGGGCTCCCTGGGGCTCAAAGGAATGATGAGGGGGATGCTGGAAGGCATGGAGAGGGGGAAGGAAAGGCATCCATTGAGAGGGAACAGAGGTGTGAAGCACCAAGGTGGTGGGAATGACTTTTCACCCCTTCCAGGGCCCATCACACACTGCTCTGGGGTCAGAGCACGGGGCCACTTGAGCTGCAGGAGTTCAGAGTCCAGGCTCCCCAGTGTGAGGGATGAGGAAGTCACCTGGGGGTGGGAGCTGCAACAAAGGCAGGTACCCAGATGTCCTGCCCCAAAAGCTGGCACAGTAGCAATGGGCAGCGGGGCCAGTATGGGCACCAGAAAGCACAGTGGGACTGTGGGATGCAGATGGGTCAGTGGGAGACTGGGGGGCCCAAGATCATGTCAGAGATGAGAGAAGGGCAGAGGATGAACATGTGCTAAGAGTTCCCGTGGGTGCTTCACCTCCCTTGCTGTTTTCCCATCTGCAGATGAGGAAACTGAGGCCCAGAAAGGCCCAAGCAGGAAGGTGAGGCTGGGACTTCACTACAGGGGCCCTCAGCCACAGTGCCAGAGACAGACAAACTTAGGGACAGGCAAGCTAGTGGGAGAACAGAAGGAGCAGGTGGCAGGAGCTGGTCTTCAGATGCTTGGTTCTTCTCAGCTTCCTCTGGGAGGTGGCCCCAGGCAGGCTGGTGGACATTAGTGATGTGGGTGACAAGGGTCAGTGGGGCCTGGATCTTCTCCTCACCCAGCAAGTGAAGAGACAGACCCAGAGAGAGTGGGCAGAAGAGGTCTTGGTGTCCCCAGGCTGTGGGGCTGGGCCTTGCCTGTTCCTCTGAATTGCAAATGGCCTATCATTGTCCAGCAGGGGGAAACCCACTCCACAGGCTGACATAGGACAGGGTCCGTGGGTATCTGTCTATCTCTGTCTGTCTACCTGTCTCTCTCTCTCAGAACAAAGCCTGTAGGTCACACTCTCCAGAGAGAAGCGCTGGGAGGGAGGGAGGCAGGGCACACAGGGCCATCCATAACAAGGGGCAGCAGGTGCTGGGAGGGAGGGAAAGGTGCCCGTGTGGAGAGGGGGACGTGCTGACATGCCTCCGTTCAGGGGACTGTGAGGGCCAGGCAGCGGGGATCAGAAAGCCCCATTAAATCTCTGGCCCCTGCAATGTGTGGTAAAGAGGCCTGTGTATCAGGGAGACTGGGCAGGGAGGCAGGCTTTGGGGCCAGTGGACCCCCACTGCAGTGCTCCACCTGGGAGTCCTGCAGGGTTGGCTGAGCTACCTGGCAGGCACATGGAAGCAGACATTCTGGTGAGGTATGGGATAGAGGAAGGAGCAGACCAGCTCCAGGAAGCCAGAGGCAGTGTGGGATTTGGGGCCTGGCTGCCAACCCCTAATAATGAGCAGCACCCCAAGAAAGGAGAATGGGGACCTGGCCCATGCCAAAAGTCAGACACACAGTGGCTCGTCGGGGCCTCAGAGCAGCCCAGGTAGGGAGGCTCAGGGACCTGAAGTGACTTGCCTAAGGTCATTCATCCCAGTCACAAACACCTGAACCCAGATCTGTCCCGTCAAAGCCTGTGCTTTGCCCCAGCCCCAGCCACACCCCTCTGGGCTGTCCCTGCCCCACGTTACAGCTGGGAGACCCAAGGAAACCCCAGGTCGGAGTGGAGCATTCTTTTGTGTTCTACCCAACTCGCAGTGGGGGTTGCTGGTTTGCTCACTCCTGGTACCATGGAGCCCTGGACTCAGGGTGGGGCGACTCCCCCAGAAGACATCTATTATCTGCCTGGGTGCCCCAGAAACAACCCCAGATTGGAGCGGAAAGACTCAGGTTCTAGACCTGGTGACCTTGCTCCCAAGCAATGAGGTTTTGTTTTCACCTGCCTAGCCTCAGTTTCCCCATCTGAAAAGCAGGGCTGTCTGTTCTCTGTATCCCTCCTAGGGCTTTTGCAAAGACCCTGCAGGTAGAGGATAGCTCTAAAAGTGCCAGACATGACAATCATTGTCATGGCACTTTCAGGCTTGGGTACACGGACTTACCCTGTTTCAACCAGCGACCTGGCATTTAAAGGGCCCCCACTTTGTGCAGGGACACCGGTGACAAGGGGCTCAGAACCAACCCTCAGTGAGCCACAAGGCAGGTGTAGGGCAGAACACTGGACAGCACAGGTCTCACTGGCCCTGGTGCAGTGTGGGGAGTGGTCAGGATGCAGAGGGGCACTGAGCTGGGTGTCTGGGAGGCAAAGGCTGCCCAGAGAAGGCGCTGCTCTCGGGTGGGGCCGGGGACTCCCACCTCACCCTTTTCCAGGCTATGAGACTGGGGGCAACTTGCTCCCTTCCCCCCAGCCTGGCTCCCGTCTGATGTTAAGAGGCCAGAAGAGGGACTGCGAAGTGGCCTCCAGGGTTAGATGTTCCTGGTCTGGGCAGAGAGGAAGACTGAGAAGGTGTGGCTGGCAGGGGGCCTACAAAGGCCCAGGCAGAGGGGAGAGTAGTGTACAGGTGTGCCAGGCAGGTATGGAGCAGGCGGGTGAAGGAGGACCAGGGCCAAAGGAATGGGGAGCCAGATGGGGCTCCTGAAAGGTGAGGAAAGAAAGAAAAGGATAATCAGGGCTGCACCATTTACTCAATCCCCACCTCGTGCTCAGCCTGTGCTGAGCATCTTCTGCGTGATCCTAACTCCATGGGACAGGGTCAGTATTTAGATGACTGCCCGGAGCCTCAGTTTCTCCACATGAAAAATGAAAGTGGCATAGAACCCAAGGTCTGCCACACAGGAAGTGCTTGATAAGTGGAAAGAGTTGGTGGTGGCAGGGGCAGGTCTAAGTGCCCCCAAGTCTGAAGCTTTGGTGTACTTCCACACCTCTGAGTACCTGGCTAATGTTAACAGAAGCATTAATACAGGTATTAGTGGCAGCTAAATAAATCCTCATATTACAATTACTGGTACCCAGATGCTGTTCAAAGTGCCTTCTATGTAATAACAAACTTAATTCTCCTAACAACCTATGAGATAGGAACAATTATTTCCATCATTTTACCGATGAAAAACTGAGGCTCAGGGAGGTTAAGCCACTGGCTCAAGGGAAACTAGGATTAGAATCCAGTGCTTAAATCCCACAGGTACTGCCCATGGGATTCACCCACTGCCAGAGATTTGACTCCATGTTGGTGTTCAAGAACCTCGTTTTTAAAAGCCCCCTCCAACCACTCAGGGGCTTTGAAGGATGTCTCTCCTGAGAAACCTGCCAGCAGGGAGTCACCTCCATTCCGCCAGTGTCCAGCAGAGCAGTGGAGGCAATGGGGAGCTACACCAGGGTATGGGCCGGAATGTACCACCACACTCTGGGAGGTTGGCCACCCAGGGGTTAAGGAGGGGACAGTGGGGGAACCTTCAGCAGTAGGCGGTTCAACAGGCCCTGCCCCTCTATCTCACCCTACAGTCTCTGAGGGCCAAAGGGGACAGATGGCATCATCCAGGCCTGCACTGTGACTGTCACTCAGCCAGATGAGTTACTAGCAGGCCAAAGGGGTGGTAGGTGGGATGCACAGAAATAATAGCATGGCGACTTCAGGACAATGGGGGCCACGTGCCACTGGGGCAACAGTCGTTTGTCATACAATGGGCCTCTGGGGGACAGCAGCCGGGCCAACTGCTTCCACAACATGACACGGGCCAGCCGGGCCAGCCCAGCCGTGTTTTCAAATCATCTCCAGGCTGTTTTCCTATGAGGCAGCCAATGGTGGAGACAGCCGGGGAGTCACCTGATGCCAGCTGCATGGACCCTGGGCCCTGTGACAGCTGAGCAGCGGTGGCCATGGCAACACTAATTGTGGCCCTAAAACACAAGGAGGGAGGGAGGGAGAGAGGGAGAGAGAGAGGACACTGAGAGGAGGGAGGAGGGAGGAGGGAGAGAAGAGACAGAGAAACTGGGAGCTGGGGGCAGCCAAGAAGATGAAGGACAAGGCCACAGCTCCTTGCACCTGCTGTTGGATACGCAAGGAAAGCAGACATGCTACATGGATGTCCTGTTCTCTCTCTTCCTCTCTCTTGCCCCCTCCAATCTTAATGGGTCCCAACATACCTGTTTTGAGAGCCTAGAATTTGGACTGTGGACCTCTTACAACACCACCACCTGGCCATGAGGGCGGCACATTCAGTGGTACTGGTGAGGGCCCTTAACCCAGTTCGCAGTTGTGTTACAACCAGACTGGACACCATTGTGAGGCCTGGTGCTCTCCAAGTGCTGGCACACAGCACTTCAGGGGAACCGAGGTACCCCAAATTGGGTAGCTGTGTGGTTCCTGAAATGGCAGCCTCCTTCCTTTCATGGATAGCAATGTTCTTGCATTGCTCATGCAGCTGTTGAAGTGGTGGCCACAGGTCCTTCCTGGGGAGAGTTCTGGCTTCAGGCTGCACTCTCTGGTTCTGGCCCCTCCACTTCCTGTACTGTGTGGCCTGGAGCAAATGAGGGGGACATGGACATATAATAGGTCTCAGGGTGACTGCAGAATTGCACAGGACTGAACTGTGAGCGGGTTCTCAGCTGTCTCTCCTTGTGGCCCATATGCCACGTGCTCTGTCACCATGTTTCATGCCATCCACATAGGCTACAGCATGGCAGGAAAACACCTAGACCTGGAGGCGGGCAACCTGGGTGCTGTGGTGGCCCCAATTCTGCCAGGGCAGCTGGGAAGGACCCTGTTCACAGCCCCAGACTGCTCCATGCCATGGGTGTCCCCAGGAAGTCCTGTAGTGCCCATCTTCCCCTCTAGAAAATGGGAACACAGTGAGGATCCCTTATCCAATAGATTTGGGACCAGAAGTATTTCAGATAACAGTTTGTCATATTTTGCAATATTTGTACCTACATAATGAGATGTCTTGGAGACGGGACCCAGGTCTAAACACAAAGTTCATTTACACTTCATATGCACTTTATACACATAGCCTAAAAGCCAGTTTATACTTTTTGTGTGCCTGCATTTTGACTGACTCGTTATGTAAGATCATGGTGGAATGAAAAGGTTTGAATTTTGAAGCATTCTAGATTTTGGAGTTTTGTAAAAGAGATGCTCAATCTATAACTAATCTGTAATAATAATAATGCCTGCCTCATAGGGCGACTGGGAGTGTTAAATGGGCTAATACTGTGAAGGATGTGACCAGTGCTAGTGCATACCACAGTAAGTGCTCAGGCAATGCCAGTGTTTATCACTTTGACAGGAGGTGCTAAGCAGGACATGGGTGAATGAAGGAATGATCTGAGGATGTGCCATCTGGCTCCCAAAGGGGGACCTTGGGGTTCATTTCCCTCACCCCATCCTGAGAAGGGCAGGTTGGAGGGCCAGAGAGGCTTGGGGTGGTGAGGGGCTAAGGGGCACTTCCAGAAATCCAGGGGGCCCCAAGGAGCTGCCCGAAGCTCCCCCTCCCGCCCGAGCTCCCTGCTCCTCCCTGCAGGCTCCTGCCTTCCACCAGTGATGATGAACTCCCTGGGGACCTGCAGTCCCTGTCATGGCTCACAGCTGTGGACGTGCCTCGGCTGCAGCAGATGGCGAGTGGCCGCATGAACTCCGGAAGCCATGGCGTACCACATCCACACCCAGGTAGGCTCAAGGTGGGGCAGGGCAAGGGTGGAGGAGAGAGGGGCGATCCTAGATTTGCCTCCCTTCCTTGTCTTTGGCTACGGACAAGTCCCTCTGTCTCTCTGGGGCTCTATTTCCACATCTGTAAAATGGGACTAAATCGACTTCCACAGAGATATTCGTTCAGCAACAAAGAGGGCAATCAGCAAAGAGGACCCAAGTCAAATGCAGCCCCAGCCTGTTTTGCAGGGGATGAGAATGGTTTTTAAATCAGGTACGACAGTGCATGGCTGGAATCCCTGTACTCTGTGAGGCCGAGGCTGGAGGACTGCAAATAGGAACCCATTCTGGGAAATACAGCAGTTTAGCAAGATCCCATCTTTTAAAAAAAGGGGGGGGGGGCTGGAGATGTAGTTCAAAGGCCCCGGGTTCAACTCCCAGTACCAGAAAAAAAATTTACCAAAAAAAAAAAGTTCACTGCCCTTTTAGCTAGAAGACTCTAAGAACCCTAGTAACACATGGCAGCTAGTTGCAATCACAGCAAGTGGGTTAAATGCTTAAAGACACAAGATGTTGAAGAAAAAACAATGACAAAAATACAAACACCACAGTGTGAGTACCGAATGATGGCAAATCAGGGTATATAAGTATCTCTTTCATTGGGCAAATTGTTCTTGAGCAGAACATGTAAAGCAAGGGTCAGTCACCAAACTTTCTGCAAAGGACCAGGAAATACATATTTAAGTCTCTGTAGGTCAGTTTGTCAAAACTATTCAGCTCTTCTGTTTCAGCACAAAACAAGCCAGAGAAATATGTAAATGAGTGGGTGTGGCTGTATGCCAATATAACTTTATTTAAAAACTAGGCAGTGGGCCTAATTTGGCCTGCTGGTCAGCTTCCTAACCTTAATCTAGAAACCCAGGGGAGAGCTGTGTGATCTTGGGCACGTGCTTTCCTCTGTGATCTATGTCCTCATCTGCACTAACACAACACAGTATTCAAAGACTGTAAAATAAGGCAGGCCCTTCCTTCATCTCTGCAGCTCAACAGGTGAGTTTTGCCTACAGAAGAGGTGGCTGCCTACAGTCAGGCTGGTGCAGTGAGAATCGGGGATGGATTAACAATATCAGTCACAGGCCCAGCACAGGAGGTAGGGCTCAAACCTGCTATTCCTGAGCTAATCCTTGGCAGAACAGGGCTTGGCAAAGGGGAGTGGTGGCACAAAAGTGTTTGGACCTTAACGTAGAAGCACTGGGGAGCTAGGGAACGTTTCTGAGGATATGACATGAAGGCTGAGTTGGTGTTTTAGCTAATGAATGACAGGAATCTAATATTACTTCCATTCTCCTCTTCATCATCATTTAGTATAGACTCATTTACTGGGATTTTATCATGGGTCCAACAAGGTGATATTTATTAACACTTGATAGATGATCTCATTTAACCCTCCCAACAACTTTATAGATAGGTAATAGGTAATACTAGTAGCCCAAGTAAAAGGAGGAAACAGAGGGTGGCATGGTCACACACCTGGTAGGAATCCCATTTTTTACCAGTACACCTCAGCAAAGTGACTTGCCAAGTGTCTACTCTGTACCTGGTCCTGAGGGTGGGGAGTGACCCTAGTCCCCAGCCATAGCCACCATTCATCCAGCCCCATGGCTTCTCTGTGCTTCTCTCCTGCAGGTGCCCTGCCTGGGTCAGCTGGCCTGCATATGGGAGCTGCCCCAGGGCCCCTGCTCCACAGCCCAGCTGCCATGGCGCCCCGAGGCATGCTGGGTCTGGGCCCCATGACTAGCCACAGGGGCAGTGTAAGTGCCACTACATGGGTTGGGGAGCAAGAGAGTGTCCCCCAGGGCTGGGATGCCCGCTGCCACCCTGACCCTCTGTTTCTTCCTCCCCTGACCCCAGCAGATGAGCCAGTTCCCAGTCAGGGGCCAGCCATCATCCAGCCTGCGGGATGTACCACAGCTCTACTCCCCTGCCATCCAAGCACAGTTCCCACTGCCCTCTGGGGTCCAGCAGGTATGATGGGTCAGAGAAGCCCTGGACAAAGAGGCAGATGCCCCTGTCTTAGGGCAGCCAGGGATCTCTTTGAACCTATTTACTACCCAGGCACAGGGGATAAAATTCCTCACAATGGCCATGTCATGAAATCATCCATTTGATTCCCCTGAAACTCCTGCCATCAGCAGAGACAGAGTGGTTTCTGTGGCTGTAAACCCTTCACCACACCTTACAGAGTGGAGGGTGCCTCAGAGACTGGGGAATTGTGATTGACTTAATGCTCTTTCTCACCTTCTCCCTCTACTGTCTGCGGAAGTGTCCTTCTATGGGCCTCTACAGCTCCTCGTTTGGGGCACGGCCTTCCTATCCCCAGGCCCACATGGCAGTGCATTCGTCTCAGGAACTGCATCCCAAACACTACCCCAAGCCCATCTATTCCTACAGGTGAGGTTCAAGGGGCTCATGGAGGAGATGGGCAAAGAGGAAAGGGCTGCCTCCAGAGCACTCCAACAGGCTGGGAGAGGTGATCCAGACTTCCAAGGGAGAGGTTTGGGGTAGTGGGGAATTCCCAGGTAGGACTTGTTCTCACGAAGGACTGCCATGGGGCAGTCTACCCACTGGGGTCAAGAACGTACTTCAGATACTGCCATTCCATTATTCAAAAGCTGTGTGTCCTCAGGGACATGCCTTGGCCTCTTTGAGCCTTGGTTCCTCAAATGAAAAGTCACCAAAATAATAGTACTGTGTATCTGGGGTGTTTGGGGAAGAGGGGAGCAGCCTAGGTAAAGTCTAAAGACCCCAGGCATTAATTATGGGGACAGGATAAAAAGAGAGAAAAAAAGCTGAGTCCAATATCAAGGAGAAGGGCAGGGGGTGGTAAAGACAGGCCCTGGAAGGTGTTCAGAGTGCACACTGTGTGATGTAAGGGCTTGGACATGCTGGGGCAAGCAGGGCAGGCTTCCTGGCAGAGGGAACCTCAGGGTGTCAGCGCGAGGCCCCTTTATGACCCCCTGCTCCATCTCTTGTCCCCAGCTGTCTAATCGCCATGGCCCTGAAGAACAGCAAGACAGGAAGCCTGCCTGTGAGTGAGATCTACAGCTTTATGAAGGAGCACTTCCCTTACTTCAAGGTGAGGATTCTCACCCAGGGTGGGGTGCTGGAGCTACCCTGGTTTTTCCCCGGCACTGCTGGAACTCAGGGCTGGCCCTAAGCCAAACAGGGGCCCCCTCTTACGCTCCCAGTTACGTCTGTATATCTACTACTAAAGACACATGCATGTGCATACACAGAGAGGCACTTAAGGGAAGGGGGCATTAGAACTGGGCTTTGATGGTTGAGGAGTTCACAATGCACCTTGCAGGAGGGAGGTAGAGGGACCCATCTTGTTATTCTATACATACTTAGTAAACCATATAATGCAAAAATATACACTTGGCAAGGGGCCTCACCAATCTGAGCCTCAATATCCTCATTTGTAAAGTGGGGAGCATACCCAGTTGGCAAGTTAATGATGATTCTGCTCATAAAAATCTTGGCTGCTGCTGGCATACGGTTTGGCCTTAAGTAGTGCTACTCTTGTTAGCATCAAAGAAAAAAGAAGAGCAAGGGGCCAGAGAGTACCAGGCTGCAAAGTTCCTGGCCTGGAAAGTATCCCTAGAAGAAATAATGCAACATCATGCGTGTGTATGTAGGGTCTTGGATGCATTACAGTTATCTGGTTATCTAATCCACTTGAGCAACTACTCACCGATGAAGGCCATTCTCGCTTGCTGGCTACTTCAGCACGAGAGAAAGGCAGCAGGAGGATTCAGAATGATTCAGTCAGCGGATATGGGTGGCGTCCATGTAGTAACAGCAGGTGTGGCCGACTTGTGCTTCCTGTGGGCCTCCCTTTTGCCTCTCCAACTTGAGGTTGAGTACTGGACGCTGCCCTATGACCCCTGTCATGATGGTGTCCTGTCCAGACAGGCGGGAGCGTGAGGGCACTCAGGGCAGGAAGGGGTTTACCGGGCGGTCTGTGAAGCGGCTACTGAGCTGCTCTCCCCACAGACGGCTCCCGACGGTTGGAAGAACTCCGTGCGGCACAACCTGTCCCTCAACAAGTGCTTTGAGAAGGTGGAGAACAAGATGAGCGGCTCCTCACGAAAGGGCTGCCTCTGGGCCTTAAACCTGGCCCGCATTGATAAAATGGAGGAGGAGATGCACAAGTGGAAGAGGAAGGACCTGGCCGCCATTCACCGGAGCATGGCCAATCCGGGTGAGGACCGGATGACCCCACTGCACATGCGCAGATGTGTGGCACTGTGGGTGTGTGCACATGTGCGCATGCGCCCACCTCCTCCCTTACCGGACTGCGCGCCCCTCAGACACGCTGATACAGAAGAAGGTGTCTAGTGTGCCTTCTCTGTGGCTGGCAAGTTGAGGGGCCTGGATCATAAAAAGCTGTTGGCTCACCATCGCTTCCAGTTGTTTGCACAGAAATGCCAGACCACACAATCATGGGATAGAAGAGGCGTTTAAAATTAACACCCAGTGTGGGCGGGGGTGTAGGAGATAGATGTCTTCCTATACAATGGGTGGAACCATAAGCTGTGAAACTTGTTGAGGACACAGTAATGCATCAGAAACCTGCAAAGTGGCCAGGCTTGGTAGTGCAGGGCCTGCGCACTGATGACGGCCATTCTCTAAACTCTCCAGATCTTTTTGGGAGGATTGCAAGTTCAAGGCTAGCCTGGATCACTTACCCAGACCCTCTCTCAAAATAAAAAATACAAAGGGACTTGGGGAATAGCTCAGTGGCAGAGCAACACTGGGTTCAATCCCCAGTACAAACCCCCCTCCCCACTGTCCCCATGTACTAGTCCACTTATTTCATTTCTGAGAGTTTATGGTAAAGGAAATCAAAGATTTGAGAAGAAAAATTATGAACCGAGTTATCCATCCACACTTGGCTTTCAGTTGTCCAATAAACAACTGAAAGCTATCTAAGCATTCTACAGTTAAATATGGTGCCACATCATGCAAATATTCAAGATAAAAATATTTAAAAATATTTTTGGAATATAAAGAAATGTTCTCAATATAATAAGTAAAATTGACAGGTTATTAATCATTATACAGTACACAGCAGAACTACATTTAAAAATGTATGTGTAAGCCAGACGTAGTGGCACACACCTGTAATCCTAGCACTTGGGAGGCTGAGGCAGGAGTATTGCCAAGATTTAGAGGCCAGCCTGGGGTACCTAGTGAGTTCAAGGCTGGCTTGAACTACATAGTGAAACCTTGTCTCAACAAACAAACAAACAAACAAAATGTATAGCTGGGTGTGCTGTTGTACCCTTGTTATCCCAGCACTCAGGAGGCTGAGGCAAGAGACTTATTAGTTTGAGGTCAACCTAGGCTACATAGTGATTTGAAGCCAGCCTAGGCTACACAGCCCCTGCCTCAAGAAAACCATGCAGAATCCCCCCT